GAAATGAAAGAAAATGGAGTGGGATGGTGGATCTAGGGTGCAGACCTGCCTTTCTATCCTATGCTTCGACGCGCAGTTCTCGAGAAAGGGAAGCGCTGGCTTTCGTTTTGCAGCTTCTCAGGTAGTATGTTGCTATACCTCTTACACACCTATACAAGTTCAAAGCACGAATGAGACTTCAAGGCTGTGGCTTGCTGTGCGTGTGTAGAGGTTCTCAAGCGGTTGACGGAAAGGGAACTTGAAGTACTATACCTGGTACCTGCACTATAGCTACCCTAGGTCTCTCTACCTTGCAAGGTGCCAACTACACCTTTCCATTCAGATGATGCAAATGATGCATTTGGCATTTCTTGCATCACCACCCCTCAAAAATCACCTCCAACACAACCTCAAAAAACCTTCCCTCGGAGCACCCTCCTCCCCCAGCATGTGCTGAGTTGACGTGTCCCTTTCTCGGGCCACCCCCCCAAACCCCCTAACTACTCACTTCGTTCGCCAGACACAACTCCGCTAGCGCCTTCTACGAAGGCTGGCTTTCGTAATATTAACAGTTTAACTTGCCTCCTTTTTCCAACCTTGTTGACCTCTCATGTAGGGGCTTGTGAACGTTCCAAAGAGCGAATTCTAGTGGATCGCCTCCATTTGCCATCAAATGGTGACCTGCTCGAAGTCAACAACCAAAAAGTCACTTTGGACATGTTCCTGGGCTTTTGAAGGTGGGGACGCTGTCGCGGCAGGAAGGCCTTTCTGAAGTAGTACTGCCCTTTCACTAGGCGGGGTAAACAGGTATGTTGACTGTCTCAACGTCACAAAAAAAAAAACGTGACATTTCGTTACATGGATCAACATGTCTGCAACTAGTGCGTGCTGTTAAGTTAGATTGATGTGCACACCTGTGATACCCAAACACTCTATGTGGAATATATTTGCCTACATTGACCCCCGGGTCAACAACCCAATGTCTGTGCTGATCGGTAAATATGTCAGTCTCATGGAGTGTCTCGAAGATATAAATTTGATCCTTTTGCTTAACTATACCTATAGAACCCAAACATGACCTCTTTTTTGATAGGAAAAGGCAGTTTGGAGAGTTGATCCTCGAAAGCAGAGCTCACTCAGGTTCCGGGTACACCCTTTTCCCCCCTCTTCATGGCAAACCGTTAAAGGGTTCACCTCCTAAGGACGGTTCTGTTGGCCGCGCGGGACCGGTTTTGGAACGAGGATCCAGTGAAGGATGAAGCAAGCGTTGATGATGCCTAGGCCCAACGAATCTGCCAGAGCTCGACGGCTCACCATGTGCCGGAGCCGACCCGTTTGGGCTCCAACCACCGCCCCCTCCGTTTCGGTTCGGTGGGACTGGGGTGGGTGCCATGGGGGTCTAACCACCTTCACCTGAGGATATGGGCCAGGAGCCTAGGGTGAGAACATCCACGGTGTTCACCCTTCACTGCAACCGAATTCATTGTGGAGCGGGGTGGTGTCCCTCCCCAGGTCCCCAACTCACAAGAGGACCTGCATGCAGGTGATTCACACACTTCCTGGGTAGGCAGCGGACTGCCTGTCCCCACGTCTCAACCAAGCGCCAAAAAAGAGCTATAGCAAGAAGACCGGCGGAAGGGAGGATTCCGGTTCCAAAACCACCCAGGAAACCCAAACAGGTCAAACCGAGACAGTTCATATATCTGGAGTCGACCCGGCAACGTCGTAGCTCCGAGTTAGTCGTATCCGGGCCCAGCCGTGGTGCCGACGTCTCTTCTTCGAGTCATGTCCCCATGTTCTACGAACGAAGTCAGGTCCAGCACCTGGAAAAAGCACTGGTTCTCCATTTCTGCCCTAAGGCTCATTGGACCCTCATAGCTAGGTTTTGACCCTCACAGCCAGGGTTTTGGACCTCAAACATGTAGTAGTTTGAGGGTCCATGAGCCTCCATTTCAGATTCCAAATCAACACTCGGACACCAAGGGTCATGACAGCATACGAGAGCAACCCGTCGCGGGCATAGACAGGAAAAGAGCCTTATAAGTTCTTCAACTCAGGGACACAGGATACAAGGAAGGACAAACAAACAAAGAAAGGTCTATGAAGGTCTATGGAAAAACGGAGAGAAAATCACACACAAAAAGTAATACACAATTACAAACCATAAGTTCATAGTTCCTACATGTTCCAGCTATCAAATTTCACGAGGTTTGGGATTTTTGGGGCCAAGTGCGATTTGGAATAATTTGTAGTTTTGAAGACGCTGGGTGAGGTTCAATTTGTTGGTGTAGCGCCAGCATTTCATTTGGAACCTTGCAACATGTTTGGCACAAAGAAAATTATGAGAACAAAAAAAGAAGGTCATCAATGTTGGCATGGTCTCTCTAGAATATGATTGTATGACTGATCACATAGTGAACCACTATTAAACTGGTTGAAAGGAATCAAGCAAGAAAGACTTTGGACCTTAAAGTCACATCAGCTGGCCTAACTATTAAAACCAATCTGAGATAAAGGAAACCTATGTTTGAACGCGGTGAACAAGAATCCGGTAGACATAGGAGACAACATTGCAAACAAAAGAAACCATGTCAGCAACGTTGGACACAATACAAGCAAAACCCGTGGGAACCAAGCTGTGAAGACAGCTTGGGGCAATAGGTAAAAGTAGTGGGAGCAAACCACAAGGCTTGATGGCGGAAACAAATACTGTAGTCGAAAGTAACACCAAAAACCAAGGCTTCAGTCGGGATTGCAACAGTTTCGGTCAATCGAGGCTGCAAACTGAAACAGCCGGGCAAACAGTCGGGAAACAGTCGGAAACAGTCGGGAAACAGTCGGAAACAGTCGGGAAGCAGTCGGAACACAGTCGCAAATGTGTGGAACACCTGGGACCTAGAACCAGTGGGAATCACTCGCAAAAAATGATGAACAATCCAAACGACACTGTCAAATAAATGTGCGCTTCAAAAAACACAAAATCACAACGATTAGCAAAAAATGCAAAAAAAACAAGATGAAACAGTTGGAAACAGTTGGAGACACAGTTGGATGTCAATTTTCTCGGCAAAATTATGGTGATTTTAGACTCTAAATCCCTGATTTCGAAGTCAACAACTCTTAAAATCACACTTTTTTTGACGAGAGATTTCACATCATCCCTTGCTTCCAACTGTTTCCAACTGTTTCATCTTGTTTTTTTGTGTTTTTTGCATTTCTTGCTAAACGGTGTGATATTTTTTATTTTTGGGTGCAAAATTGTTTGGAACGTGCCATTTGGATTGTTCATCATTTTTTGCGAGTGATTTCCACTGGTTCCCAGGTGAGGTTGTATAAAAACCCCCTATTATTTTGCCTTACCACTTTTGGCGTTATCGTTTTTTTTTCTTCCTTATCGTTTTACAGTACATTGACTAACTGCAGCATATGTAACATATGTAGTATACATGTGTGTGTGCACTGCGCGCATGTGGTGTGGAACCTGCAGACATGAAGACATTAGGTACAATCCCCCATGCTGGAGTCCATGCTAGAGGCCCATGCGTTAGCAACTCACTAGACATGGTTCCCTCCTGCTGCCCGCTCTCCCATGCCCCCTCCCATACAATCCAACTCCCCTTTTCCGTTTCAATTCTCTTCAGAATCTGAAGGTGATGAGGTTGAAGAAGAAGAAGAAGAAGAAGACGAACTCTCAGAGTTGCCCAGTGGTCCTCCTTTGAGTGTCTCCAGTTGTCTCTCCACCCTCGCCCTGTCTTTGATCTTGCGAAGGGCTTTGGCATTCATTCTCTCTTGAAAAGTCTTTATTGGCAGCAGGCCAGGAGCTGGGCCCTTCCTCTTCTGAGCATCATGCCGGCGGTGCAGCACTGTCATATCACCAATGTCTGGTGGCGCTTCCTCCCAAGTTTTTGTGCCTTCAAAGAAAGATTTCTTCCAGGCTATGGGCTCAGGATGTTGGTACTCCTCAGGGTCATAGAGGCACGTCTCTCCAGTGTTAGGATCCATGTCGCTGAAGACAAAGTTCTTCAAAGAGCAATGTGCAAGAGCCTGCCGAGGAGGTGCTATGACCATACAGTATGTCCTTGTTATCTTGAAGTCTGTTGACCGAACATATTGCGTTGTTCTTTCACGGTATTGGCCAAAATCTAGCAAAGAGCACTTCCATCGAGGTCCTTGAGGATCATGCCTCATGGTTGTCTGTGCACCCTCATGGATGGCTGCTGCAAGCTGCTCCACATTGTAGATAGGCTTCTTCAGAGCATACTCATCAACCCACCGGCTCACTGCCCCAAAGGCACTGTCCAACAAGTTCTTTCCGCGCTGCTCGCCTAAGAAGGAACAATCGACCACCTGCTTTCGCACCCTGCACAGCTTCATTCTGTGTGCAAGACCCTCTGCTGCGCGGAAATGTGGACCGCAATCGCTCCAGAAACGAAGAACACCTTGCTCCTTCACACACAAATCTGTCAAAACCTGGTCCAACATTTTGTTGGAGGCTTCTGCAGTCTGCTCCCTGACCTCATTCAAGTAGATGACGTAGGTTTGCCTTGGCAAGTAAGCAAACAAGCTTCCCTACACAAAGCAAAAGTTACAGGTCACTAGCTTCAAATGATTTGTCCTGAAGCATGTTCGAGCTGCTCAAGGGCAGGGGTGGTTGGAGAGGAAAAGCTTGTGTGCCTGAAGCAACAGCATCCGAAGCAGGATATTGCATACTTCTGCTGACAATGCCACATATCAGATGTCTCTTCTGGGCCAACAGGTAGTCGGATCTTTTCTTTCCAGTCGAAAATAAGAAGGGTATCACCCTGTGGCAGTTTCTCTGGTGTCATAAGCTGCTTCAAACAATTTTCCTGTCGCCTGGCAGTCAACATATGCCAGAGATAGCTTCGCAGAAGAGACACATGCCCCTTGAGAAGCACACCAGCAGGAGCTTCAGTGAAACTATAAAGCTGGAGGCGGTCGCACCCACTCGCATTCCTTTCCTCTTTGTACTTTTCCGCATGGCTATTCACATATTTCCATGCAAATTCAGCTTCTTCTCCTACATCTGAGAAAATTCGATCCACAGGGTAATGTGCAAAATAACCTGGATACACACTGAGCAAATCGTCCCGGATCCTCTTCCAATCCCTATGGAACCGAGGAACCAAATGGTTCCAGAAGCACTGGCAGTGGCTGCAAATGTCTGTCTTCCGGTGTCCAGGCCTGAAGTCGGCAAAGTGTCGCTTCAGGACTTTATAGAACATACTTTTGCTCACTCGATTGTGGATCTCTGGGTGGTCTTGCCACATCCTAGCTGTCTTGGTCAGGAGCGATTGCGCTGGCACTACTCTTGCATCCTCTTGACTCCCCCGCGGCTTGTGATGGCCAAAAGTGCCATCAGAATGGCGGTGCACATGGGCAAGCTGACTGCCAGGCTTTGAATGCTGAGCAAGAACTTGTCTGGTCACTTCAATGAAATCCGGATTCACCTTTGATGGACGACCACCTTTCGTGTGCATTTCCCTCTTGCGCCGATCAAGTTTCACATTCTGCTTCGTGCGTTTGAGGACGCTTTTCCAGGCAGCCTGTCCGAGTCTGTAGCCCTGCTTTTGCAGGAATCTGCGTGACCAAGTCCCCTCGGCGGAGAGTGTATAGTCCAAATCTGCAATGGCAACGGTCTGGAAACCAGCATTCACAGCTTCTTCCCGCAATCGCGACAGGCTTTGCAACAGCAAGTTGTCTGTAATGGGCTCATCTCGCAAGAGCTCCTGCTGGACACCTGGGCACTCATTGTCGAGCAAGGCCACCACTTTCCGCACTAGCTTGCACACTCCGGCCCGGCTACCTCGACCATGTTTCAACAAGCACTGTGCCACTGTTTTGGGGCAATCTCTCTTGTTGCTGAGGGGTCTCTTGGGCGGGTTCTGGGTCTTGCTCTTGTCCTCTGACGGCCTTGTCTTACCAACGCCACTTGGCTGTCTTGGAGGAATTGGCAGAGGCTTTGTGGGTGCAGGGCCTGTGGTTGAAGAGGAAGCGCTCCCTCCAAGCACTTCCAGCAGCAAAGGCCGTGCCTGGACTTTCACATCCTTTGGGTCCACATCTTTTGGCAAATTCATGTAATACTTCTGCTCCTGGTCACTCAGGTTGGGCAAATACTTCTGGCGGATGCGGTTCGTAACCCAAGTCCTTTGTTCTTTGGTCAGCAGGGCGCGTTTGGCCTGTCCTGGAACACTTGCCTTTGCCAGCTCCACTACCTGCGCTCCGATCTCAGAGTCTGCGACCGCAGCGTTGAAGATCTTATTGCTGTCCATGGCGCTCACATGTGGTGGCCTACCTACACAAAGGTCTTTTAGGCTCGCTGTGTTATCGTTTTTGTTATCGTTTTGTTATCGTTTTGGTGCCTGGTGCAACTTGGATTATTTTTAAAGATTCTGCCCTGAAGAACGGGAGATGGTTCACACTCTGTTTGTCAAGCACGGACTGTTCTTTCGGAGGCCCCAGAGAGCTGATGAAAGGACCATACATGGGTGTTGCCAAAAACACTGGTATAGATCGTTCCGCGCTGCAGCCAGAGTGATCCAACCCTATGGGTCAAAGCCCTGATCCAAGCCCTATGGATCAAGCAGACTGGTGACCTGATCCAACCCCTATGGATCAAA